GTGCCCAACTGTATGGGGCCCAGGCCCTCAACTGTAGTCTCGGGCCTGGGTGCAGGAACTGAGGCCCGACCGAAAGCTACTGGAAGCTTCCAGCCAGGCCACACGCAGCATCCAGGAGGCTGCCACTTCCATATAGGAAGTGAGGCAGCCCAGGCCAGGCATTCTGGCCCACGCAGGCAATGCAGTCACACTGCTGCGCTGTTGCATTAGATGCTGCGCTGTTGCATTGGATGCTGCGCTGTTGCATTGGATGCTGCGCTGTTGCATTGGATGCTGCGCTGTTGCATTGGATGCTGCGCTGTTGCATTGGATGCTGCACTGTGGCCAGTGCACTTGCAGGGCGCTTGGAGGTGAAGTGGGGCGCTGCAGGGCAGCGGTGCGCTAGCAGCCATAGCCGGGCTGCTGGGCGCTAGGGGGTAAGAGAGGGCGATCTGGTGATCTTCAAGGAAGGAGGCGAGTGTATGGGTTAACAAGGTCTGATGAGGGTGACGAGATACATACCCGGTGCATGAAGAGAGGTTGGCTATGGTGTTGACATCATGTACATTGGTCTTCGAGAGTCGAAGTGAGCCTGTTGCGTGAACACAGTCGTGGGTAGGATGAGTAGAATAGGCTAGGCGCTTGGTGTCAGACAGAGAGGAGCGACTTTGGATACTTGGTGTGACCTGAGGGCTTGAACATTGGCTCATTACTTCATTGTATTGCTCTATGTGGATGGATTCTCGGTGCATTTGTACTCTCTGCTTGTAGACAACTACTTGGACATCTGTGTGATTTTGCAACTTGGTTTTCTGTAAATCGTTCACACTCATATTCCTTGCAATTTGGTATCAGAGCTGGTTGGTGATCGCCGCTTACGTGGCGCTGGCGACATTGTTACTTGGTGCGCTGACGAAGCTTCATGTGCAGTAAGGATACTTTGGTGCCGGTTTGATTGAGCGGGGCCCAGGTAGAGGGGCCGGCCGCTGGAAGGCTGTGGCGACAGCGTGGGAGCTATGGCGACAGTGTGGGAGCTGTGGTGACAGCGGGTGTATGTATGATGATGAGAGCATGCTGACGTGGCATTTTGGCTGAGGTGGCCCTGCATCACGTTGTGGGTGGTACCGAGGCTATGATGGGTCATTGAAATGCACGCCAGCCCAAGTTGTGAGAAATCTGTGGTTGGGGGCGGCTATCTCCAGGTACGTTGTTCCCATTCCTTATCTACCCTCTCAATCTCTTCTAACCGTGAGGAAGTGAGTCCAACCTTGAGTGTCCTCTCTTTGGTGAGGGGTCGTGTGGAGAGGGCGGTACCTCTGAAGAGCCCTGGTCGAAACACGGGTCACAGTCACCATGCCTGAGGGCTTGATCATCTGTGTCATTCCGCAACTTGGTTTGCTGTATATATTGTTCACACTCATATTCCTTGCACATAGGTAAGTGGCAGCCCGTTAACTCCTCCGTTAAGCAAGAAGTAGTGGGCCTGGGGGATTTTATTATTATTTTATTAAGAAAGAAAAAAGCTCTTGCACAAGGGTCTCCCCAACATAATGGGAACTAGTGGAAGAGGAGAAGAGGAGGAGGGGGGGAGTTCTATTATTTTATTTGTTATACTGCAAGGAACATGAATGTGGACGAAGCACAGAAATCCAGATTGCAAAATCACACTGAAGTCCAAGTAGTCAAAGCAAGAGCAGATAGCACAATGGAACCCAGTAACCATCCATTTGAGAACGATACAGAAGACTGGTGAGTCAATGTCCAAGCCCAATCGGCCAACACCAACAGCATAACCCAATGTAGCTCTCTCTCTTGAATGGTGCCAGGCGCCCTACCTACTCTACAGCCTATCACTACAACTACAGCATGGAAGCAACCAGACAACTTGACGACCAGCGAGTGATGATGTCAACACCAATGCCGACCTCCTCTCCACCAGGTACGTCTCTCTCTTCTCCCTCACTCTCCCTTGTTATCCCACACAGCGCCCTTCACCTCCGAAGAACCACCTTCGCCCTTCACCTTCTCTGCGCCCACAGGCAGCCCGGCTATGGTCGCCAGCGCCCTGCGCCCAGGCTGCGCTCTACCGCTTAGCGCCAGCCTGCCCTCCCTCAGCCTAGCGCAGCGCAAGCACACTCGCAATGTAGCAGCGTGCCGGCCTTGCTCGCAACGGCCAAGATCCCTGCCCACTCGCCCTCCCTGCCTATATGCCAGTGTTGCGTGTGGGCGGCCTCCCTTGAGCCTGCGCCTGGGCCCCAGTACCTGTACCCAGGCCCAATGCGGTTGGGGCCCAGGAGATGCAGTTGCGCCTCTTTCATCAAGGCCTGCGGCCAGATCCAGATAGTGGACCGGTTTCCCATTGGCATTTTCGGCCTCTATATMCAGCATGCATTGTYRGCCTCAYGTTYATGTGCCCAGGGCCTAACCAATTCTGGGGCCCTGGGATTTCTGCATTTGCAGAGATCCGATACTCGGTGCACTCCAACCAACTGGCGTGCGGCAACTGTACGGACCCCACTTCGTGAAATGTTTGAACAAAGGGCTCTTGTTGATTTGCTGGCCCGCCTTCACTTAGGGTGGGCGCGAGGCTTGCTGGGGGCCTTAGCCCAGAACATGTATGTCACGGCAAGGCCCCTTTGAGGGCTCAATCCTCACAATACTTAAATTTATTAATAAATAAATTATTTAAAACATTTTCAAAAATATTTAATTAAAGATAATAATAATAATAGTATAGAATATACATTTTTGACTCGTGGGGTTGGTGATGAAACCGGGCTGCAGCTCCCCAGAATGTAGACCAGCTTTGGCTATAAACCCCGGAAGACTAGCTCAGTTGGTACCACAGCCATAACCTGTTGAAAAACAGGCGCAAGTTTGAACCCTGGTAGAGCTACCGTAGTTGAGTCGATTTCTGAATAACAGACGGAAGTTCAAATCCAGAGAGAGCTCTTCAAAGGGGAGAATGAATTTCTGAATTACCTGGGGTCAGTCAGATCCACGATGAGATCACAAAGGCCGCTACTGAAAGGGGAGAAGAAAGCAGAAAGGGGAAAGAAGGGGAAGACAAGTCCAGAACTTAAAAAATAAAATAAAATAAAATGTTATGTGGCGAGTTCGTACGGCAAATGATATAAATAAATAAATAAATAAATAGATTATAAAATTATAAATGGCTCAGGCTTGCAAGTAATTGGAAATTTGCAATATTTTCCTGTTTTTCCCTGCTGCTTATCTATTTCCGCAAGTTCACCACTCACCACGTGGACAAACGACAAAAATTATGGCCGTGTATGTTCCCGTGTTATAGCGGAAGATTCATTCCCATTTTGCACATTTGGTGAGAGGTGGAGCGAGACCCACAGTTAACCTTATATCCCACTGGTGCAGCAGGCTGCTCAAATCTGAGCGAAAATCCCCCAAAAAAATTGGGGAAAAACAAACTCTTCAATGCCACTACCAATACTGTACAACCAAACCACCACAGTCCTCTTTTGTTGCTACCTTAGGGATGCCTCCCCCCCCCCCCCCCCCCCCCCCCCCCCTCTATCTCTCCCTTTCTCTCTCTCTCCCTCTCTCCCTCTCTCTCTCTCTCTCTCTCTCTCTCTCTCTCTCTCCACACACACACACACAATGCATCATCCGCACACACGCACACACGCACACACAGTGACGGTTGAGATGGCCACG